CTCCAGAGCTGTTATTCTACTTATGTGATTTTGCTTAATATCAGAGAATGAAAATATCTGGGTGGTTGTTATAATACCCTTGGCATACAACTCCTCAGCATCGAGAAACTCCTGATTCTCCACTGTAGTATCTCAGTATTGGTTGAGTGCTGAGTGTATGTGTAGGTAAGTGCTCATAGCATTAAAACCAACTGCTGCAGAACTGCCTGGCAGACCTGCACGTGAACTATTTATGCCTCAGATACAAAATTGATTCTATGCATAATCTCTCTGCAGTACCCTGTTAACTCACTAGAAAACTGCAAAAAAAAACCATATTTTTGCTAAGATTATATTGTACATGTCCAAAATTAAATAAGGGAAATCCTGCTTAACTTCTTCGTCTGTTTAGGGATTTTCTAGGAAGAAGCTAATTAAGAGGAGGTTATGGACAAGTAAATTTTTCTGTCATAATTCTGAGGTTAAAAATGGACTGCCTGGAATTAAGTGGCCTCATTCATTTTGTGAGATGACAGTAAGTGTATTTCAAGGCTGGAAATTCCATTTCACTTAATGCACAGAAAACATCGCAAGGGAAATAAGAGTTTTTCATGAAGAACTAGGTATCCTGGTAACATATCAGTTATCAAACTCACTTTGTGTTTTTCAGCAACAGTAATAATTATAGTGCAGCAAGATTGTTTTCATCTTTCAAAGGGGTATTTTTCAAGACTTTGGCAAGAAATTCCCTTTTCTCCTCAAATGTAGCGATCATACTACCAAACCACATAGCAAATGCCAAACAGTAATCTTCATTGAAATTTTTTCAGCATTGAATGTATCTTGCATAAATTTATCTAGTGTCTTACAATTTACCTACTTTAAAAAGGTATTTATTGTTAAATATAGTCAAGTTTGAGTCCTAGCCAAGGCTTATTTGTGCTTTAGTCACTGGCAGTTTCGTGACTGTGCTCCAGAGATGTGACAGATATTTAGCTTCCTCATGCAGTTGGTAAAAGCTAACCCTGACCTTTAACAAATAATTAGAGTCATTTAGGTGCCCCACCTACATCCTTTTCTTCTCTGGGGGGAGCAAGTAAAAAGTCATGCTTTTCTTTATTTTATTCTTGTGGCTGATTAAAACTAGTAATACAGTGCAGGAATTTTATTCATTTATACAGTGTTGGACTACTATAGATTTTTTCCTAAAGGTATTGTACCTCTTGCCTGAATGCTATAGTACTAACTTCTAAGAGGATAAGGTACTTGAAAAACATGTAATTGAGGGAAGAACCAGTTGGTATGTTTTGGGTGTAAATGTTGACTTTCCCTATCGATTACCAGCACAACATTTAAAAATACTATTACACCAAAGCAGGTATTTGAAAATACTGTACTGAATGTGCTTCTCTCCTTAGATACTAATAGGACAGTTAGGAAGAGTCCAAGAGCATTTTTAATAACTTTCTGAAAAGTACCTTCAGACTGATCTTCTATGAGGTTTCCTTCTCATGATATGCATGGAAATCCTCACAATGCAGTTCTTGAATAAGTGAGCTGAGATAGGTAGAAATCTGATGCTTGTCGTTCTGTATTCCTTTGACCATGTCCTTTCTCTTATGTGAGAATCAGACCGACAAATATGGCCTTATTAAATGGCTAAATAACTTGAAGTGTAACTTTGCTTTCAAAGGTATTTTTACGTTGTTAATTTCTTTACGTTGTTAATTTCTGAAGTTGTATAGTGCATCAGATGTAGTGGTGCAGTGTAGAAAATACATAGTTCATAACATATTTGTACCTTTGTTGTATAAGGCATTTATTGAGTTTGGAAAATAGATTACATGCTTATGATGTTTCATTTCTCAAAAATGATAATAAATGGGTGAATTATCCACATGGGGGTTTTCAGCTGAAGGTATTCAATTAATTATTATATGCCAGTCAACAGTTCAGCAGCAGCAACAATCTGCTGTTGAAAAAACTGATAAAGGTCTTGATCCAGCAAAATTGAATGTACATTTTCTCTGTAGCATTTGCCTAGTGCTAAGCATTATTAATAGTACAAGTGGATTTTTTTGGTAATGTGTTATTTTGTTTGTTGTGTTTTGTTACTTTATCTAGAAAAGGCTGGCTTATACGGAATCTTTCAGCTACATAAACAAGGAAGTGATAAAAAGGTAGATATTACAAATTAGTTGGATCATCGTGAGCTTAGTTCCATGCATACTGCTTCTTGCCTTCTCTATCCTGTCTTTTCCTGTGGTCACATATGCCATGTAGTCTATCCAAGAAGAGAGATTATGTTGAATGCCACCTTTGGTGGTGAGTGTGCTAAGCAGAACTGCATCAACTGGTAGTGTGCTGTTCATCTTAGATTTAGCCTGCAGAAGAGCTGTAAAACAGGATGTTGTGTACCAGGGTGTTTTCTTGTGATTCTTTCACTATTTCCATCCTATTTTTAATGGATCACTCAGTGGATTTTTACCTTCTTAACAAATGGTAACTCTAATGAACTGTGCCAGTTCATTGGTACAATTCTCAAATAATCATTTGATAGACAGTATCTGCTTTTAATATTTAATGTATGTGGTGCTGTCCTTTAAAATCCTTGCCTAGCTTTGAAGTGTTTTCGTTGCTATGGAAACAACATCTGTGATAGGAGCTTCTAAATCATGAATACACTTGAGATGTCTTTTCTTTCCTCTTGTGTATGAATACAGTAGTTCTTACCCTCCCACACTACACTTCATTTGCAGCTTCCTTCAGAAAGCAGTGCTAAGCAAACTCATCACTGCTGCCTCCTTAAAAACTCAATGCTAGGATAATTCAATATTCAAACGCTTCTACATTGTAGTTTCTGATGCTGTCTTTCAGGTTTCTGCTTATCTAAGTTGAATCCTCTGTGGAAAAATCAAAGTTTTGTGGCTTTCTGTCACAGAACAACAAATCACGATCTTTAATTAAAAACCAAAACTTAAGAAGTTACTTTTTTTTGCAGAATTGCTGCTGTCTGTACTAGAGAGATTAGAACTGGTACAGCACCCCAGGTGTGGCCTCCCCATCTCTGAATGTAGATGAAGGATAACTTGACTCGACCTCTTGGAAATATTCATCTTAACACAGCCCAGGATGCTGTTAGCCCTATTTGATGTAGGGCCACACTGCAGGCTAATACAGGTGAAGATTAATGTTGCTGTGGAATTGTTTCTCTTGTAATGTTTCAAGCTTCCCTCTTAGTACCAAGTCTAGTTCTAAGATTCTATAACAAATTATTTCCTTTAATGTGAGGTGCTTGGTAAACTGACAGCAGATTTTAAATAATCCTTTGTCATTATTTGATACCTACTGCTTTGTATGCAGCACTCTTCAAGACCAAAAATTGAAATGAAGTTGAAAATTATTGAAGAAAAAGTAGAAAATGAATGTTAAGTATATTTTGAGAAGCTTAATCATAGCTACAGCTAGTAGGAAACTGGAATCTGGAAGTTGCAATAAGTAGATTCACTTCTAGGACAAAAGCCATGTTATGCAAGTGATGTGCAGAAGTTCCTGATATGTTATTCTAAGGAAAATAATTAAGCTAGCAAAAAAGTACAGACTGTTAATTTCTTAGCAGAGGTAGATGGTGCTATTATTTGTTTAATCAGTTCTGGAATGTTTTGGCACTGCTTCACTTTGTAGAACAAAAGAAGAAATGACCTCTTCACAAAAAGAATGCTGTGGATAAGCTGATAGGTACCTTATCAAGTTTGCTATTGTAGCTATGCCAGACAGACATGTTAATGTGACATAGGCATTCTCTGCTATGGTATTTATACTTTGTCAGAGGTGTTTTGGAATTCATTTGTGACCTCATCCGGCATACAGAGAGGCTGCAAAGTTCTCAGAATTGATAAAACAAGCCCACTTTAAAATGAGCTTATTTTAAACTTCCTGGCTTTCAAAGAACTTCAGAAAATAGTCTATTTTCTAGCTTTGTACCTATTTGCTACTGATGCTTTTCTATGCTTCCGACATCTGAAGTGCCATAGCTGATGGCATTTCTTTAAGATTCTTTTAAGCTTAGGTTTCAAATAGATATTTTTCTAGGAGCACTGTGTGGGAGATTAAAGTCCTGTACGTAAGGTGTATGAATCTTAATCTGTAAGTAAGGACAAACTTGAAAATGTACTTCAGTTAGCACTAAGGAGTGTGAGAGGTGGAGAGAACTAGCCCAACAAGTTTTCTATCACTTAATAAACCAATCTAATCAGGCAAGAACTCTTTTTTTTTTTTTTTTTTTGTTCTTTAGTTAAGAGCCTTGGAAAGTTCTTTATTTTTAGGCAACTGGTTATCCTCTGGTCCTGAACATCATGAAATGTAGAAAGTATGGGACCCAGGACTGAGGAAGCAGAAGCAAGAAAGATCAGTTGGGACTGACTTTCCTAATTTTTTCCCTTATTTTCCTATGTCAAATTTTTAAAAATTAGGTTGGGTAGAGGTATGTATTAAGAAATAGATCAGTATTCTGGACAGTAGTGCATGGAATAGAAAAATATGAAAACACCCAGGTTGAGGCTACAAGGGAATAATGAGTAGAAAGTGACAATTTGATCTCACGTATGTCTATATGATAAAGTAATATATAATGTTTATATAAAAGTTAGACATGATTCTGCTGCCTCTGTACATTTTAAGTTTTGCAGTAAAGAGATAAATATTTGAATTGATTCTTGTTTTTGGGGATGGCCTTTGTTTTATATAAGCCAGAAGTGAGACCAGTGAGGATCTCCACACATGCTGGAAATCTTTTGCAAAGTATTTTTGCCAGTAAGTGTGGGCAACACCTGAAAATCCATTATCCCACTCTGGTTTTTTTTTGCCAGTAAACTCTCATTCCTATGCATTTTTTTCGCACAGTTGACGCTCATTACTTGATTAAAGGTTACAGTGTCCTTTCTCAAATAGAAAAGGAATGCATGCTCTAATTAGTAGAGTATGAAAGAGTATTCTATAAATGTAGTGATAATAAGGTGCAAAAAAAATGATAGCGAAGGGACAGAGGAAAGACAGTAATGAACTGCCAAATGTGGGTATGTGTGCCTGAACCATTCTAGCAGAAGCTAGAGAACCGTTCTCCCAAGAAGTAGCTGCAAATCTTCAGCAACAGCTTAAAGAAAAGTAAGAGCTGCTAGGGAGAGGGGGAAGCTGTTGTTTGGAAGGTCTGTATGTAAGAGCTCAGAATAAGGCTTTTAGGTCATAGATGGTATAAAAATGGAAATGGTAAGTGTTTTGGATTCCTGTATTATAAATGGGGAGGAAAGAGAAAAGTCTTGGAGACTGAGTGAAAAATATAAAGTAACTTATAGCAGTATATGTGAAATGCTCATGTACAATTTCTGTTATAATCTCTTAAAATTTCAGCACTTCAGTGTGAGATTGGCCCAGTTTTGGTTTTGATAGCATTACTGTTCAGAATTAGAGAGGAGCTCACTTAGTCTTGTAGGTATCTGTAGTTTGGCATGGAGAGCAAAATTCACTGTGAGTAGTGCTGGAAACTAGATGGTGTGAAATGTTATTTGGAATTTGACTTGATCTGAATTCCTGTTTAAGTCTACAAATTAACATAAGTATTTAATAATAATAATTTAATAATAACTGTACATGGCACAGTCAGGACTGGAAGACTTTTAACTATAAATTGGTTGGACTATTCACTATAAACAGTCTAGAACTATAAACTATTAACTGTCTTGGCAATGTACTCAGTATATTCTAAAAGTACAGTGTATTTCAGCGGCTGCTTCTCATTTTTTGTTTCACTTTAGATTACAGTTGATGTATCTGCAGTATTTCAAGAAATGGGAGGATAAACTTTACAACATTTGCTCACATGGAAGTTGTTCAAACTGTTGTTTTCTGTTAAAACTAGAGATGAACTACTAATTTTTGGGAGAGCATGGTTCTTCATGAACTCGGATTCACACTTGTTTTCTCTGAAATGTTGTCCTAAAGAACTGGAAACAGAATATTCCTTCATATTGTGGTTCTTGTGAACTGATATCTACACAAATTAGTGTAAAATGTGAGATGTTTTGTTGGAATAACTATGTTGAAGTCATTTAAAGTGATGAGAAATTAGGTATTGTTATGAGTGATATGTTAATCACAGTAGTTGATAACCAAATAAATACGAAAGGAATGAACCTCTTTATCAGTCGATTTCATCTTTAGTTTTAGCTGTATTTTAAGTAACTGAAAGCTATATCTGCAAAGACTTAAAAAAAATATATATACAATAATAATAATAATAAAGTGTTTATTATAATTTTAGTCAGATTCTATATTTGAGAATAGGTAGTCATAGCTTAAGTGCTACCTTTGAGTGAAATTATATCAAAAAGTAAAATATTGATAATGGGAGAGAAAATAGTGTGGAAATTGCTTGAGGATTTCAATAAAATCTAGCACTGCAGTAAGATGTAACAATACTGCAGGGATCTAATCTTATTAGGCTAAAGCACTTTCATCTTTAATTGCAAAAGGGCTTCAGGGTTTCCTTTAATACTTTTAAATATTTGATTCTTAGGAAAATCAGAGTTACTTTTCTCATCTCTTCTATCCTATTATATGCCTATACCACTTCCTGTAAGTAACATGCCTCAAAGGACAACTATGTAATAAGGATATACTTGTGGTAAAACTTTCCCAAAACTCTCTAGAAAGCACTTCTGAAATACATTTTAATACTTTTATTTGAATGTCTCACATTTTCAACTCATATCGACTCATTACTGTGTACGACTTACCTAGAATTCTACAATATCTTTGCCAAATATCCCATTGAACAAACAGTACAAAAGTTGATCATTATTTGCGAGAACTTGAAATTACAAAGCCAACAGCTGGGGCTGAACTCTGTGTTCAGCTAGATAGAGGATGTAAAAGCTTCACCCTTGGTACAATTACTGCCTGACATGTCTGAACTCCTGTATGCTCTTCAGAAGACTGTGCCTCAAGTGGTTATTGATACTGATGACCAAGGAACTGGACATCATGTTTTTTCCAGGCCTGTGGTCACCTGCATCCTTGGACAAATTATGTTTATTAGTTTGTCTCAGCTTGCTTATATTTTGTTTAAGTAAAATGACCAATTAAAATAACAAAACAAAACAATCAATTGAGGAGTTCATTTTTTTATTAATAAATCATAACTTTTTCTGTCATGGTGAGAGCAGTCCAATTTTGCCTTTATGAAAGAACTTTTAATTTAAATATAATGTTGACTTTTTACACAACTGGAAAGAGTTTCTGAAAGATCTGTAATTTCAAATGATATTCAGGACTGAATAGCAGATATATTTCACTAATAGAAAAATATCTAGGAACAAATACAGCAAAGCAGAAAATAAAACGCTAGCTTTAATATAATCTGTTTTTTACTAGTTCTTCTGTTCTTTTGCTATTTCCTGTCAGTGGATGTCAATGCCCCTTATTTGTTATAGGTCATGCTTTTAAAACTATTTTGGAATGTAGCAAAATTGCTGAAGTTGAACTTATTTTTCGTAACAGAATTTTAATGAAATGTAAGCAAGCAGAATTGGTGGAAGGTCATAAGATTGTGTTGTTGTTTCATTGAAGGTATAATTTTCTATTCTGTGAAGCTTACTGGAGACATCCAGCAACTACTTTATGAAGAAAAATGGCAGGAAGGGCTAAATCACAGTGGTGAGTGATATACTGATACAGTATCTATAGATAACGCTAAGAATAATGCTTATTATTTTTGTCTCAAAATGAAGGCTGTTGACCATGGGCTAGTGGAGGACCAGTGAGCTTTTTCAGCTATTTTTTTGAAGAAAGCATCCATCCTCTAGGTACTACAAGAAAGATCAGAAAACTCCAATTAAATTCCCATTTGAGTGAGACTGTGCTAAGATACTAGCTGATGTTCTATTTCCAGTCATGTTTAGACCACGGCAAGCAAATAGTTACCTTTTAAGTGTTTAAACACTTATTGCACGGGGCAATACCACTATATAATTGAACTAGAATTTTTATGTGATGGCAATAGGCAGCCACAATTTCAATCAACTTGTACTTTTCCCAGATGCATCACTGCACCTGAGCAGTGGGACTTGTCCAGTTTATCCAGATTGACAGCAGTACTGTGTGTCTCATTCCACCCTTACTGCCATGATTTAACTGGATTTTATTAGGAGGAAAAAAAATGGACTGGATGTGCAGAAGATGCAACAAAACTTTCTCAGACATCTGTGGAGCTTCTCAGTGGTCCCAAACAGGTTAGGTTCTCTTAGATTTGCTGGCCTGGAACCATAATCTGCTCTTCAATTAAGTCTCTTCTAACTTCTCCCTCATGGTCTATGTTAGCAAAGAGAAGGAAAGGTATTGAAGGGTCCTGCATGTGTACCACAGACAAAAGCTCCATTGCTTTTAACTGGAAATATGTCTGTATTAAAAACATCGAGCTTGAGCCCTGAAGATTGAATTACTGCACTGTTGTCTTCAGATAGTTCTTTTAAAGTAACTTCAAGAGCCCTTTTTTCTATAATACAGAACTTGCATTATATGTTAATGCTGTATAAATAGACATGGACAAGCATCATGAAACTTTTCTAGCTCTAGCTTATTGTTTTAAAACTCACTACCTCTATTTTTTTCATCAATTGAGATTTCAGCCTGCCTATAGAGAGTGCTATAATGATAATCACAACATGTTAGCACTTTAGAGTCTGGAGCGCTTCAGAGTTTACTTATTTCCACTTACTGAAGAATGTTTTTGTAGAGTCAGTGACTGTGTCAGTGCATTGAGAAGCAAGAGACTGGAACTACTGTCTTCATGTTGCTTATTAACAAAAAAGTTGACTGAACATGGTGAAATGCTATTCTTGCAGAGTGGTTCTGTTATAATACTTAGTTTGTGTGTAAATAATTACTTCAGTAGTTTAATGTTTCCCAGCTGAAAGCTTCAAAATCAGGTTGCCAAATCAGCAGACTTCTGATCAGAAGGTATTGTTGGACTGTAACCATGGAACAAAGTATGCATCCCACACACAATTTTCCTCTTCTTCTCATTTATTATTACTTATTAGTATTAATGACTTCAAGAGGAACTAAAATGAGAGTACCAGGGTAAAGATACCGTGGAAAGAAATGTGTAGATCTAAAATCTCTGCTTGTGATTATACTGAAAGATGAGTGCCTGGTATCAGAAATGGGGATTGGGTGGATGGAGAAGCAGCACAGCTCAGTCTGCACATTGTGTTTGGGGCTGGCAGCTCTCCAATATGCGAGACTGAACAAGGAATGGCCACGGTTTGCACAAACTACGTTAGTTCCTATTAATGGGTAGGAAGGGACTGGAACGACAGAATGGCCAGGGTTGGAAGGGACCTCAAGGATCATGAATCTCCAACCCCCCTGCCACATGCAGGGCCACCAATCTCCACGTTTAATGCTAAACCAGGCTTCCCAGGGCCCCATCCAACCTGATCTTGAACACCTCCAAGGATGGGGCATCCACAACCTCTTCAGGCAGCCTGAAGCACCAAAACCATTCTCAGTCAATACTCAGTTTTTGTGTTTCAAATACTGCGTGCTTAAATACTTACAATGTTTTAAAATGTTTTTCATAATACTGAGTTGAAGAAGTGTGTGTACTTTACCAGCTCTTATTTGTGTGGGGTGGCACAACCTGATAGGTTAAACTTTTACCAGCAGTTGCCTCCTCTACTCCCTGCACTGAGACATGTTACTCTAAGTAGGGTAAAATTGTTTCATGAAGTGATTACAGTGTGCAATCTTCTGAAATTTGCCTAATATGCAGCAACCTTTAATCCATTAAGGCTAAGAAAGGGTAACTGTGATAGCTTCTGTGGTAAACGAGTGGGGCTTCATCACCTTTGTGTTGCTGCTTTGTGTAATGCTTTTTTTCCCTTTCCTAAATCGGGATTTACCGCAGATGCTTCGCCCTATTAAACAGCTCCCGTGCCCAAATTCAGCGCGTCCAGCGAGCGCCGGCCGGCACACGCTCACATAACGCAGCAGGCACCGCCCTGGCCCGGATCCCTCGCGGCCCCTCGCTGAGCTGGGCCGGGGGCGGGCCGGGCTGTGCGTGCTGGGCGGGCCGGCGGCGGGCTGTTGCCATGGCTCCCGCAAGCCGGGGCAGCACCGCGGGCCGGCGGCGGCGGTGCTGAACGGACCAGCCATTTTGCTGGTGGAAAACAATGTGACACGGCGTGCCGGGCTCTGCCGAGCAATAAACACGCGTCTCCTCTGAGGACTCAGAAGAAACGGGCGCGCGAGTGAGTAAAGACAGCGGGTTAGCGCGTCGGAGCTGCCATTTTGACAAGCCGGTGACTGCCGCTGCCGTCGGCTGATCGGAGGCGGAATGCGGAGCGATAACGCCGCATATCTGCTGTCAGGCAGCCGAGCGGGTTTTTGTCTCGTAAAGGCGAGGCAGCCCCACGGCGTTATCTCGGTGCCCGCCGAGAGGGCTGAGCAGGGGCTGGCGGCCCCGCGGTTAGCAGCGGGCAGGTGCCGGACCGACCCCGCCCGGCCTGCCGACCCCGCGGGCTGCGCGCAGAGGGTGTGCCGCCGCGCTCCGCACAAAGGGAGGCTGCCGAGCATCCCGGCTCCGGGGAGACGTACGGCTCTGCGGGGACTGGTCCTGCCTTGTGAAACTGTGTTCCGAGCAAAACCGTTCGCGAGAAATAAGCTTCGCCAGGTACCTTTGTTTAAGGGATGGTTTGGTCACAGACTTGTGTGGAGTGATGGCTGAGTGCATCGGTCTGACTGCATCTTGTTTTAGTGTTGTGTTCTAACATAGCTGTAGAGTCAAAAGATTGCGTGCAGTAGCAGATGCAATCATATGTTTGCATTTCCTACCATAAAGGGTTTTCATTTTCCATTATGCTTTGTGCTGTCAGGATAGCATGGGATATGATACATTATCAAACTTGCAAACGTATTTGAAAAGCCTCAAGTCACTGAATTCTTTGTGATTGGAATTAATGCGTTGTGCTCAGCCTCGGCGTAACTAGCTTTAAATTGTCTGACTGCTGCTGTGCAATATGTAGGTCATAATAAGGAGCAGCTTTTTCACTAGGCTTCCATGGACTGCATGCCCCAGTGCTGTGGTTGATTGCTTTCTGGTACTGGCACTGGTAAGAGCAGCAGTGACACAGCCAGCTCACACCTCCCGTTCAGATATGGCACATACCGTGCTGCATGGAGCACAACACGCCCATTGTGTCCCTCTGCTCAATGCTTGGTACAAGGAAGGAAACCAGCACTCCACATGGAGCACAAGCACAATTAACAGCACAGGGCGGTTAAACTTTTATTGAACGATCCCAGTGGCAGGCTTTCTGCTTAACAAAAAATAAATAAAACCATGAATGCAAATGTGAGGCAGTCATTGAAACACAGTAAGTCATCTGATTGGGGTTGTGTGTTCGTACTGTAGGTTTTCAATGCAAAAGGAATTGCTCTGAACAGATATCACAACGCGTCTGTTTTACAGAGGTCGATAAAACTACAGTTCCTCAATACAAACTTTTATAGTAAAAGTATCATTTCATGAACTACTAAATGTATTCTTGCTAATATAATTCTTAATTACCTAATACCGAAATGCATTTGATTATTCTGGCAACTGAATGATATGATTTGCTTTGTAACTAGAGAAAAGAAATAATTGGTATTAACTCTTAATTACATGGCTTTCAGTTACATTGAGATGAACCATTTATTTGAACAGTTGAGAAGGCATGAGATCAGGAATTTGAGGTCTGGGATCTTTATAGTTAAATTAGTAACCAGTTTCTGTAATTAGGAGTCAAATTCCAATGTGTTATTTCTGTGTATATGTGCTGCAAAGGTATTTGGATAAACGTGGTCAGCAACTATTCCCCAAATGGAACATCGCATTTAGAAATAGCAGTTGATAAACAGATCGCAACCATGTATTTTCCCTCTTAGAAAAGCTCCATCTTTCTCAAACTGTTTCAGGATTTCACTAACAGATGAATGTACACCCCAACTTCTTATGTGTAGAGGTCATATAGTAAATTGTTTAGAGATCCACTTTTTTCTGTGTTCTGATAAGTGGAATGAATATTTACAGCGTGATGCTACATGAATATTCATGATTGAGTCTTTAATTATGTTGAAAATGATAAGCTGATCTAGCATTTCCTTTAGGAGGTGTTTGTCAGCCTCTAACAAAGAGATAGAGAGCTTCTATTATTACAGTAAGAAGTATAGGCATAGTAGTATGCAAAAAGTCAAGGACCTTACAGATCAAGCTGGATATATCTTACTGTGAAAAAATTGTAGTCTAAGAAAGCATATGAGGACTAGCTGTGACAAATCAACGTACAGCCAGTTAGGTGCTGGTAGATGCATCTTATTAGTCTCTATTATTATTGAGAACAATATTCTGCATTCTTTCTATTCTGTCGTTCTCCCTTTGTCTTCTTTCTCATATCAGTTCCCGGCTTCCCTCTGTTGCCTTACTGTCTCTTTGGCAACATCTGATCCCCTCTGAGGTATTTGTAAATCAAATCGGTGACTGTCAGTAATGGCCATGAAGGTGCTGCAATGGAATATGGTTAGAAGGAAGAATGTTAATGAGTTAGAGGGGAAAAAGCAGTGACTAAGTAAAGTGTGTACCCAATATGGACTAATGGTACGTGATATAAGGTATGAAGGTCTTGTCTCAAATGTTGAAATCAAATAGGTATAGAAGAGGATATACGTTTTTCAGCTCACGATCAACTACATTTTTAAAGGCTAGTAAGAAGATCTTGAGAATAATATGAGACAAGACAAATTGGATATTTCAGCAGTGGAAAGGTTGACATCAAATTTCAGTTAAAGCATAGTTTTTTTTTTTCATTTCAGGAGAACTATGGTTTCAGTCCAAGAAATTATTGTACTTGATTTGAAAATCTGTAGGTTATGCAAAGTCAGACTGTTTTGGTCTGCAGTGAGGTAAATAACACCAGCTGTCATGCTTTAACATGAGTCACTTCAAACATTTTTGAGAGATCTGACTCTTGAAGGTGACTCTGGGCCTATGTGTTGTGATTATAAACAGGTTACCAGCAAAGCAAAAGCAGGGAGATCAATCCTGAAACATAATATTACAGCAGCAGGTGCAAATAACAATAAAAATGAAGAGATGGATTAAAGAAGCCAAGTGCTGTAGCAGTTTGGTATGTTTGTTTAAAATCACTAGATTTGAACAAACATTGATAAGCATCGACCAACCATGTGT